GTCGGGAAGATCCCCTGGAGGAGTGCATGGCACCGCAGTCCAGTATTCTTGCCTGGAGAATCCCATGGACAGAGGAGGCTGGTGGGTTACAGTCCATGGGGACACAAAAACTCAGACAACTGAAGTGACGAAGCATGAATGCGTGCGTGATTGGAGATGTGGCTGGGTGAAGTCACCATCTTGATATTTGTTTTGTGTTTGTCCCACCTGATCTTTGTCCTGATTCCCCTCAATACCCCCTCCCGGAACTCCCCATCTCAGTGAATACTGCCTCCCCACCCCACCCCCACCCATGCTGGGGGGGGCCCTCAGTGCCTCTTAAACAGCAGGCCCCTCCCACCTCCATCTGGTCCAGCAGCAAATCCTGCCCCCCTCCCCAGATGGCTCCCAAATCCAACCACTTTTCTCCAGCTCTGCTGCCCTGGTTCAAGCCCTCGGGCCCTCACCCAGGCGTCTCCAGGCACAAGGGAAAGCGTCTTTGTAAACCCAGACCAGAGCGCTCAGCTGTGGCTTGTCCGTTTAGGCCCTTGGCTCTGTGCCCACACTCACTTCCCATCTCGGCCGGCCTCAGCCCTGCTGAGCTCCTGTTGTCCTCAAGGCCAGCCCCAGCTTGAGTCTTTCCTCCTTCTAGAATGCTCATCCTAACAGAAAGACTCAGACACAGAAAGCAAACTTATGGTGACCAAACGGGAGGGGTGGGTAAGGGGTTCACGGGGCTGGGATTAACAGACTCACGCTACTATAAATGAAATAGATAACAGAGATTCTCTTCGTCGGGGTTGAGACCCGGGCGCCTCCAAGATGCCGGCTTTCCACTCCTCCCTCGTCACAGCAAACTCACTGGAAACATGGCACTGTTGCCCATCAGAGGCCAGTTCAAAGGACCTGCCCCTAGAGAGACAAAAGAGACAGATATTGTGGATGAAGCTATCTATTACTTTAAGGCCAGTGTCTTCCTCAAAAACTATGAAATTAAGAATGAAGCCGATAGGACCTTGATATATATAACTCTCTACATTTCTGAGTGTCTAAAGAAACTCCAAAAGTGCATTTCTAAAAACCAAGGCGAGATAGAAATGTATACACTGGGAATCATTAACTTTCCCATTCCTGGAGAGCCTGGTTTTCCACTTAATGCCATTTATGCCAAACCTGCAAAGAGGAAGATGAAGTGATGAGGGCCTACTTACAACAGTTGAGGCAAGAGACTGGACTGAGACTTTGTGAGAAAGTTTTTGACCCTCAAAATGATAAACCCAGCAAGTAGTGGGCTTGCTTTGTGAAGAAACAGTTCATGAACAAGAGTCTTTCAGGACCTGGGTGATAAAGCCGGCCTCGGGTGGACCCTGGCTCCACAGTTGTGGGCAGCATTCACAGCAAGATGTACACAGTTCTTTGCCTTTATTTCATAAAGTTTTATACAGAGGAGAGAAGAGCGTGTGTCTTTACTTGAAGAGCTCTTTATCAAGAATTTGGGGTGGGATGGGTGGGGAAGAATGAATTGTTGCCTGGTGATTTGAAATGTCTGCAGTATTAAGCTGGTGCTTAATAGATAATAATAAAGAACTTTCTAACATTAAAAATAAAGATAACCAACAAGGACCTCCTGTATAGCACAGGGAACTATATTTAATATCTTGTGATAATCTGTAATGGAAGATAATCTGAAAAAGAATATACATATATATATATGGTATTGCTGTTCATTCGCAAGTCATGTCCCACTCTTTGCGACCCCATGGACTGCAGCACGCCAGGCTTCCCTGTCCATCACCATCTCCCGGAGTTTGCTCAAACTCATGTCTATTGAGTCGGTGGTGCTATCCAACCATCTCGTCCTCTGTCGTCCCCTTCTCCTCCTACCCTCAATCTTTCCCAGCATCAGTCTTTTCCAGTGAGTCAGTCCTTCACGTCAGGTGGCCAAATTATTGGAGCTTCAGCTTCAGCATCAGCCCTTCCCATGGATATCCAGGATTGATTTCCTGTAGGGTTGACTGGTTTGATCCCCTTATAACTGAATCACTTTGCTGTATACCTGAAACTACAGCAGTGTAAATCAACTATATTTCAATTAAACTTTTTAAAAAAATAAAAATATATTCCTTCAGAATCCTAAAGGGTTCGCTCCTTCTCTTCACCAGACTTCCACTAAAGCAGGACCCTTTAGAGGAGCCTTCAAAATAACTGCTTGCCCCTGCTCCCCACTGCTCCCCACTGCTCACCCCTTTATTAATTGCTCCATTTTCCTTAGGAGCATGTTTCTCTGTATGAGATATACTTGAGACTCCTGTTCAGGGTTTGCGCCCCCAACTAGAATGTGATTCCATGCAGTGCAGGGCTTGCTCTGGTAAATGCTGAAACGCAGGGCAGGCCAGCGCCTGGAACTGCATTTTGCTCACCGTGAGTGAGGAAGGAGCCTCTGAGACCTGAGGAAATAGAGTGCTTCTGTTCCTTCCTGGTGAATTACAAGGTGATTCTAAAAAAACAGAAGATTTTTAAAAGGTATGACTCAGCAACTGTTACTGAGAGCGTAACAGGCAGGAAGGCCAGGGATCTCCAAACAGAGGAAATAGGCAGCCAGTGTCTCTTAAATTCTGTGTGGCTGTGATGACACCTGGTTCCACCTGAACTTAACTTTTCTCAAACCTTAAGCTAAGAAAAACCAATGCGTTTTTCTTATGGAAATGTTTTTCTTAAGCTATGTTAATGAAACTATGTATTTGCTTTGGAATTTGCCTTTCTTCAAAATGCTTCCACCTAAGACTGACTATTTTTCTTTTCTCAAACGATGGGCTAATAATAGCTCCATAAACCAGTATTCACATCAATTGTTTTATGGCTGGGGGATGACACACCTCGTGCCATCCTATCTCAAAATTGCAGTTTTTGGAGAGGTGCCTGGTGAAACTCCTTCAGCCTTGAGGTGTCTCTCTTATCTGAGTAATAGCTTTCTAGCAGACATATAACAGCTAAAACTAGCAAGAGGGGGCACTCTCCATCCCCCTTCTGATGTCTGTGTCAGAAGCTTTCTCTGTCTCTTTTTCACTTTAATAAAACTCTGCTACACAAAAACTCTTGAGTGATCAAGCCTGGTCCTTGGTCCCAAAGCTAAATCTTCTTCTTCGGAGATCACAAATCCCACACCGTTCACTGTAAGCTATCATCACCTGCAGATACATCGAAGCCAACTTGTAAAGAAATGGTCATGACATTTCCACAATGCTATGCACTAAGCACCCCTCCTGTCACACACACACTGTGATCTTCACTTTACGTCATTCCAGGCCTTTGGAGCTTAGCTCCATCCATGGTTGAAATGGTACCCGTGATGCCTTTCTTAAAAAAAAAATTTTTTTTTAAAAATGTATTTGGCTGTGCTGGGTCTTAGTTGCAGCATATGGGATCTAGTTCCCTGACCAAGGCTCAAACCTGGGCCCCCTGCATTGGAAGTGTGGAGTCTTAGCCACTGGACTGCCAGGGAAGTCCCCCACAACGCATTCCTTCATTTCCTCAAGACTTTGGGAAGGGGCAACACAAATACAAATTTCTAGATGTATCTTTATCAAAAGTCACTTGGTGGGCTGTCTGGGGATTTGAGAGGCCACTTGTTTTGGGCTGAACTATGTCCCCCCGAAAGATATGTTGACGTCCTGACCCCTGGAACCTCATGTGACCATATTTGGATATAGGGTCTTTGCAGATGTGATCAAGTTGAGATGAGGTCACTCTGGATTAGCGTGGGCCCTAAATCCAGTGCCTGGTGTCCTTATAAGAAGAGGGAAATTTGGACCCAGACACACAGACACAGGATGAATGCCATGTGACCATGGAGGCAGAGACTGGAACGATGTGTCCATAAGCCAAGGATTGCTGGCCACCACCAGGAGCCAGGAGGGGCCTGAAGCAGATGCTCCTGAGTCTCCAGAGGGAACCAACCTGCCCACACCTGGCTTCAGAACTGGGTAAGAGCACATTTCTCTTGTTGTAACCACCCAGTGTGTGGTGATTTGCTACAGCAGTCCTAGGGAAATGAGTGCACTGCTATTCCAGAAACAGCTTCTTCATCTGACCAGAACACTGAATCCTGCATCGTGGAAGCTTCAAGACTGTGGGGTGGAAGGAAGCTAGGCATCCATCTGCAGAAAATAAAGCTGTCTGAGACCTCCTGTGGCAGTGGGATAGATCACCCCACTGCAAGTCTGTCACCATGTCCTCTGCAAAGTAGAATGAGCCAAAGACCTGTGTATCTGATGTGTCACCGGCCTGCCTGCCTGCCTGCTCAGTCGTGTCCGACTCTTTGCAACCCCGTGGACTATAGCCCACCATGTTCCTCTGTCCATGGGGTTCTCCAGAATACTGGAGTGGGTAGCCATTTCCTTCTCCGGGGGATCTTCCTGACCCAGGGACTGAACCCCTGTCTCCTGCATCGCAGGCGGATTCTTTACCGTGGAGTCACCTGGGAAGCCCAGTGTGGCACAAAGACGTGACCTTTTGGCAGCTCCCTTAGGAGCGCCATCGCGACACGCTGCTGTCAGCATCTCTGTGTTGAAGTAGGTGGTTCAGTTGGATCCTGACATGGATACAGTCTCGTCACTGAGTGGGAGGGACCTGCAGAGGGAGCCTCTGATGCCTGCAGCAGACACTGCAGGTGCAGGTGGTGCGAGTCCGCGCTCCGGCCCTCAGGGAGAGTTTCCTGGACAATGAGGCGAGGGATGCCCGGCAGCAGGCTAGGCCTCTTGTCGGTTTCCTGGGATTTCCTTCCTGAAAGGTGATTCATGCTTCCTCAGACACAAGCTCCTGCTCCGTGCCCTCTTTCTGTTCTATCCGTTTGGGTCAGCCATAAGTACTAGGACCAGGTAGCAATTTGGGGGGTTTGGGTTTTTTTTACTTTTTCATGTTATGTTGGAGTTTAGCTGATTTACAGTGTTGTGTTAGTTTCAGGTGTACGGCAAAAGGATTCAGTTGTATCTATTCTTATTCAGATTTTTTCCTCCATGTAGGTCACTACAGAGGATTGAGTGGCGCTCCCTGTGCTAGACAGTAAGTTTCTTTTTAATTAGACTTTTTATTTTGTATTTGAGTATAGCCCATTAACGAGTAGATCCTTGTTGATTATTTTATATCTAGTACCGTGGTTGTGTTAATCCCCAATTCCTAATTTATTCCTCCCCACTCCTTTCCACTTTGGTAACACCTTAAGTTTGTTTTCTATGCTTGTAAATCTGTGTCTATCTTCTAAATAAGTTCATTTGTACAAATGTTTAAAAATAGTTTTATTTATTTATTTTTGAATTTCCCTGCTGTGCACAGGCTTTCTCTAGCTGTGGCTGGGGGGGCTACTCTCCTGTTCCGGTGCCCAGGCTTCACATTGTGATGGCTCATTTTTTTGCGGAGCACGGGCTCTAGGACGCTCTCGCTTCAGTAGGTGTGGTTCCTGGGCTGTAGGGCACAGACTCAGTAGTTATGGCACATGGGCTTAGTTGTTCCGAGGCATGTAGGATCTTCCAGGATCAGGGATCGAACCCATATCTCCTGCATTGACAGGCAGATTTTTTACCACTGAGCCACCAGAGGAGCTCCAATTTTTAAATGCCGCACATAAGTGATATCATTAGGTATTTGTCTTTCTCTGTCTGACTTACTTCACTCAGTATACTCATTTCTATGTCCACCCATACTGCCAATGGCATTATTTCGTTCTCTCTTTTGTTTATGCCCGAGTGCTATTCCATTGTATATGGTGCACATCCTCTCTATTTCTCTGCCATGGGCATTTAGGTTGGTTCCATGTCTGGGCTGTTGTGAATAGTGCTGCAGTGAACACGGGCGTGTGTGTCTTTTTGAAGTATTGTCTTCTCCAGATACATGCCCAGGAGTGGGACTGCTGGGTCATTCAGTGGCTGTATTTTTAGTTTTTTATTGAACCCAGGGGGAGGCTTTTGAAACGATCTCCACACCATAGTCACAGAGCCCAGTGGAGCAGACTGCACCACCCAAGCCCGGGGAGAGGACGGGTCACCGTTCCAACCACAGCAGGCGGGGCTGTGCTGCAGCGGCAGATGACGCCCATCTCAGCGGCTCCAACAGCATGTAACCTTGCCCCGTGTGATCTTCTGAGATCCAGGCTGATGGAACAGCGTCATCTGGAGCACTGTCTGTGGTGTGGCCAGTTCTGGCTGCTGTAACAGAATACATTGACTGGGGGCTTAACCAACAAATGTTTAGTTTTCACAGGTCTGGAGGCTGGGGGTCTGGGTTCGGGGGTGCAGCATGCTTGGGTTTTGGCAAGGGCTGTCTTCCTGGTTTACGGACGGCTGCCTTCTTGCTGGGTCCTTACATAGCAAAGAGAGAAATCATCTCTGTAGTGTTTCTTTCCTTTTTTTGGCCACATGGCTTGTGGGGTCTTAGTTCCCCAACCAGGGATGGAACCCGGGTCACAGCAGTGAAAGCACTGAGCCCTAACCACTAGACCACCAGGAAATTCACTCTAGTGTCTTTTCTTTCTTTCTTTTTTTTTTTTTTTTAATAAGGACACTAATTTCATTCATGAGGAATTCACTCTCATGAACTAATTCCCTCCCAAAGGCCTCATCTCCAAATATCATCAACTTGGGGGCTGGGGCTTCAGCATGTCCCCTGGGGCAGGGGCACAAACAGTCAGACCAGAGCACCTGTTTTATGGCAGAAGGAATGAACTATGGAGAGAACCACATGCTGGCTCTTAGGTTTCTGCTCAAAAACGACACAGGTCACTTCCTCTCATATTTCATTGGTCGAAGCAAGTCACATGGCCAAATGTGACGTCACCGGACAAGGATATGTAAACTCACAGAGAGGGGAAGTGAAATGCTGCGGTAAGGAGTGAGATGTGAAGGCAAAAGGAGTTCTGTTTCTAAGAAAATGAAGTTGAATTTTTTGGGAAGACCAGACAAAGGCAAGTCCCTAAAAATACTGTTGAATTACATTCAAGTCAGATAAGTGAAGACACTGGGGAAATCATAAACATCTAGGATTCTGTGTATCAGCTGCTAACACAGTGCCTTTCAGCTCTCACACTGAAGAAACCAAGAAATTATACACAGTCTATCACAGGTGTGGACTGTGCATGGAAGATGGGGAGGCATTTGAATGGGCATCTTCCCCAAACTAAAGGCTCCACAAACTTAAAAGTCATTGTGGACTCATTTAGTGTTCAGGCCAGGAAACAACCCACTTCAGGTATTTTAAGTAGAAAGGGATTTCGTAGAGGGAGTTGAGTGCTTACAAAAAGGCACAGACAACAGGGGCTGATCCAGACCTGTGCTTTATGGCCCTGCCATGACAGCTGTCACCCAGAAGTCAGAGCTTGTTCCTGTCTGATCACCCACACCATGAAGCAGGTGACCAGGCAGTGGGGCTTAGGTCCAGCTACTGCCAACGTACATGTCTGCCAGAGTCTGCTTGACCCCCACTGCCCTAATCTCCTTGGAAAGATTATACCCAAGGCTTGCATGGATATGTTCAATTGGTAAAACCTTATGTCCAACAGAATCCTAGCTGCAAGAGAGTCTGGGAAATGTAGGGTCTTTATTTTAGTGTTCCTACCTCAGCAAATAGATAGTGAGTTAAATGAGGGTTGAAAGAAGCTATGTATCCAGTAAAATTGGCAAACACACGAATACATTTTTATATGTAAATGTGTTTTTCTTTTATAGAGTTTAAAATAAGTTGTTTAAGGGTGCAGACACTCCAATGATAAAATGTTATGATTCCTGGCTTTCACCAGTTTCTTCTTCTTGAAGAACAAGACCCCAATGCATCAGGTAATGAGGCATTAACATAATTCAAAATATACAAAAAGCTTGCTGGGTAATGGGGCGCCCTCAGGAGGAGTGCTGGGAGGGGAGAGCTGGCTGACTGCAGAGAGAGTGGATTTGACTCGGGGAACTATGGTGATGGTCAGAAACCTTGAACTACTACTTAATGATAAAGATAATCAAAGCAGGTAGCTATATATCTCTTCCTAATTGTAAAGGAGCTTTTTTTTTTTTTTTTTAAAGGGCAGATGCCAACAACTCTCTTCCAGAGGCAGTGCTGTCTCGTCAGTTTGGAGACACAAAGAAAGTGTCCCCGGGGCACACCTTGCTCAGAGTAGGTGCCCCACCACGTGCCCTGGAAGCCCAAGGTTTCGTATCTCCAGCTCCTGGAACAAAGTTCAGCACAGAGCTGGGACTCTCTGAATATTTACTGAGTGAACAAACGTGCGATTATCCCTAATTGATAGCTGAGGAAACCAAGTCTCAGAGAGATTGCATACCTCACTGAAAATGACAAGGCTGGATGGTCATGCAGGCAGGCTACAGGAATGACATACTGGGCTGATTTCTCTGTGAGAGGGTAATATTTTGAAGTACAAGGAGCCTGATTTGCAAGGTAGCGTGGAACTCTAAAAATGACTGCCCCAAGTTGAAAACATGCAAAACCACCTTAGTCAGTGCATGGGGAGGTTTGCAGGATACCATTAATATACTAAAAGCCACTGAAGTGTACACTTTAAAAATGGTTAAGGTGGTGAATTGTATGTTATGTGAACTTTGTCCCAATAGAAATTGTTTAATGAACAAGTGATAGAAAAAAAAAATCAGTGGGGAAAGTGTGATTGTTCTATGACCTTCAAAACATAACAATTTTCTTCTTGGTTATAATTACATAGGGAAATAAAAAATAGTACAACTGACATTTATCTAGTACATTCTAACTTAAAACACCAGAAGCATTGAGAATTAAAGTGCTCTGTTTCTTTGTATAAAGGTCACATAGATGCTAAAACTGGAAAGATCAGAGAAGGTGAGCACAGTTTTGCCCAAGGGTGACACAAATTCACGAAGTGGTCTGACTTTTTACAACAGTGTGAGTGGACTCAATGCCACGAACTGTATACTTGGGGGTGGATTTTATAGTATGTGTCTTTAACCACAATTTTAAGAAAAACTTATTAGGAGTAGTTTGAACAGTGCTTGCCCCCTTCTGACTGTATAACTGACCATAGGGAACAAGCCTCTTTTCTCTGCCATGGTGAACTGTCAATGTCCTTTCTAGATCTGGACCAGCCTCTGATGTGGCCTTTGCATGTTCAATGATTTGAAACATCTCTGAGTTCCTTTACCATGAAGGTTTTTATTGGCATCACTTCCTCGGAGTCTTCCTCCTTCTCATCACTCACCAAGTTCCTCAACCGCACACTTCTGGCCCTGGAGAAGCAGCGGAATCCACATCTCCCACCAGTTCTTCCTTCTAGAATTGTCACACGCATACTAAGTCACTTCCTCCTCGACCCAGGGATTGAACCCACATCGCTTATGTCTCCTGTATTGGCCGGCAGGTTCCTTACCATTAGCGCCACCTGGGAAGCTCGGTTCACTCCAATTTCACTTTCAGCATTATTAGCCGTTTTTCACTTTCAGCATTATTAGCAGCTTTGGTACCTTTCCTGCACTTCCACCTTTTGGCCAACTCCGTCAGTGATACATTTTTAAAAATTCATTTATTTTAATTTATATATTTTTAGGTCAGGTCTTAGTTGCTGCAGGTGGGATCTCCGATCTTCACTGCAGCATGTGAGTCCTTTAGGGCAGGTGGCTCTGAGTTGTGAGATCTAGCTCCCCACCCAGGGATTAAATCCAGGCCCCTTTGCATTGCGGAGCACAGTCTTAGCCACTGAACCACCGGGGAGGTTCCTCAATTGATACATTTCTGTAACATGTTAAGTGGGTTTGTCACAGAAGCCAACACAGCTACCCACGTTGCGGGCGGTGGGAACCGAGGGGCAGGTGCGCCGTGGGCGAGGCTGTGAAAGCAGCGCCATGATGCGTTGGCGAAGGCTGAACAGCCCGCAGCGCAGCTTGCGCTTGAGGCAGTTACGTTCACACACTGGTAACCGAGCCACGCCGGGGGCTGCTGTTATTCAACTGGCCCACAGGAACTGAGATCTGTGCCTGTCGGAGCTGTGTAAGTAGGGGCCGCCTACCTTGTCACTTTCCTTCCCTCTTCCTGCTCCTTCGCCCCCTGCAAGTAGGAGCCAGCCTGGGCCCCTTGCCCCAGGACTGAAAGCGGAAGGTGCCTGTGGTTTTTCAGACTTTGGTTTTTCCCTTAAGACCCAGACAACAAGGATGTAAGGAAGAGGAAGGAAGATTTGGCATCTCCCTTGCGGGCAAAGTGTCCTGGAGAAGCGGTGGGTGATGAGGTATCCTGGGCTGCGGGGAGAGGTAGGTGAGGGGGTCCCAAGCCTGCTGCCCACGGGCCCCCAGAGAGCAATGCAGGGGGGTGTGCTCAGGTGCAGGACCCCTGACAGGCTCACCAAAGCCGCCCTCGAGGCTGGGAGCAGCACTGTGGCATAGGATCCAGGGGCTGCAGTGACTGGTGTGGATGGGTGAGGAGTGGCCAGCAGGTCCCATCACCCCCAGCCCAGACCCTGTTCCTGCGGGAGTCCTGACTCAGGAAAGCGCAGAACTCTGGAACAGACCCCGTGGAATCGTGGGATGGGAACTGGGGTCAGAAACTGTTACAGAAAATGGAGCCAGTGGAATGGCCCGCACACACGTTTGTGGCTGGACAGTCAGGCCTGTGACAAGCACGGCTGTGCACCATCATGAGCTAGCCTGATCTGATGGCTTTATCTGACATCCACAACGTTAGGGAGATAGCTTATTATCACCGCAGTTTGAACACAGGGTGATGATACAGTCGAAGGCAGAAGTAACCTGCTTAAGATCTCATAGGTAGCAAGACCATAGGAAGAGCTCAAACTCAGGTGATACTGCGCATGCCTAGAGCCCTTTAACCATCAAGACAGTGTGGGCTATCTTTCCCCCCAGTCTCTAATGTAGCACCAAGCACAGAGGGGCTGCCATTGCTCCCTCTCTTGCCCAAACATCCCCCAGCAGCCGTTCTCTGAGCCTCCACTTTCCATCTGTAAAATGGATCACTGGTCTAGAGTGGCAGCATGGTCATCCAAATATCTGCTCGGAGGGTTAAGCATCCAGTTGTTCACTTTGACAAAAAGAGTTTCCTCCTTTACTTCAAGGGATGGACACATATTACAGCCTCCCCCCGCCCCCGACCCAAATCCCCAGTGAGACTCCCTATCCGGTGAGGTGCAGAGCACAGGGCATGGTGTCCTGCTAGCTGGGACTTTGTCGAACCTCAGTGCGACGATCCCTTTTCAGCATGAAGGCAGAGTGGACATGTCCACAATTTTATTGACAAGATAAAACCCCAATTTGACCCTGAAAGTGACAGGACGTAGTGTTTCATCAGCAAACACATACTATTTCCTTGACCCCAGTAGATGCTGGAATCCCCTGTTCACTGCTAGTTGGCCTTCTTTAAGTCTGACAATTGCTGTTTCTCTATCCTAAGCAATTTTTTATTTATTTTCTAAATTGAGCAAGAAGGGGCCGTGGTTAAGCCACTTACGCTCTATGTCTGTTCCTCGCCCATGAAGACATGAGATGCTGTGTTTAGAAGCACATTGCCCAGTACTGCCTGGAGAAACTGTGCCCCGTAACCTGGAGGGTGGGGGCTGGTTGTACGTTGAAAATGGGCCTCTGGGATCAAGTGAGGTTGGGAATCACTATGCTAAACAAAGCTTAAGGACAAGACTTTTCCGCGGCATGTGAAATCTATGCAAAAGCCATGTGACTCTCTAGAGGGCAGGGAGGTGCCCCCAAGTAATTCCCCAAATTACTTGGCTAGGGAATGTTTTGGTGGAACTTGAAATCAAGCCAGTGTGGGGCTAGAGACCTCCAGGCGATGCATGGAGCACCCTGGCCCAGAGCAGACCCAGGAGCTCAGTAAACCGGGGCCGCGTTTTACACAGCAGGCGACCAGCGGCTCCTGCTGACAGTCCTCAGTTCCACCGGATGAAGGGCTCTGCAGACACCCACCAGCCTTGCTTGCAGGCTTGTTGAAGGATACCTTTCTTCGGCTACTAAGCTGCCTTTGGAGGGGTTTGGAACGTGAGGCTGGCATGGCAGGGGGATGTGAGCAAGTTTTGGTTCTGCTATGATCCTGGTGCTGCCACTACCAGCTGCGTGACCTTGGGTGAGTCCCCTAACTTCTCTGTGCCATCTTCCCCATCTTTAAATGAAGCTAATGAACCTAACTGCTCCTGCAGCTCTGTGAGGAATACGTGAGATAAGGCGGTAAAGCTGCCAGAACAGTGAGAGATCACTCACAGCAGCTCTTGTTAATGCTGTTGCTCGTAACAGTGATGGCAGTGCTGGAGCCCAGTCTGCACTGAGCCCTGACCCCAGGTCCGGGAGGAACGTAGGGTCTTCTGGGCACAGTTCCGTTTAGTTCTGAAGCATATACACACAGGTTTCCTTTACTGAAAAGCTAAGACCAGATATCTTGTTTAAATTGGGTATTTATTTCTTCAGCTTGAAAAAAAAAGTGTGGTAAAATATACATAAAACTGGGGCTTCCCAGGTGGCGCTAGTGGTAAAGAATCCACCTGCCCATGCAGGTAGACATAAGAGACACAAGTTTGATCCCTGGGTTGGGAAGATCCCCTGAAGGAGGGCACCGAAACCCACTCCAGTATTCTCCCCTGGAGAATCCCATGGTCAGAGGAGCCTGGCGGGCTGCAGTTCACAGGGTCGCACAGAGTTGGACACGACTGAAGTGACTTAGCATGCACGCATTCATACATAAAACGGAAGCATTCTAAGTGTACAATCGGTGGCAGCCATCACCACTATCCATGTCCAAACAGAAAATTTCTACTCTAAACAATAACTCCCCATCACCCCAGCCGGAGGCGCTGCTCTGGAAGGAACTCCTCCTCGGAGCCCTGCCTTTCCCCGGAACCCAGGGCCCTCTCGGCTGCCACTTGTCACACACAACACGGAACGCAGCCCCCAGCAGCAGCTTCCGCCCTAGCATCCACTCAGACTTGAAGCCAAGGAGAAAGGAGTTCAGCAAGTCTGTGCTTCCTTAACCTCATCTCTCAATACTGCGCCTTCACAATAAAAAAGTGAGGTGGACAATCACACATGATGGCAGTATTCTGGACGGGATCCTGACACAGCAGAAACATTCTGGGAAAAAACGAAGAAACTCTGAACAAGCTGTGGACTCCAGTTAACAATAACTTGTCTATACCGTTTAACCAACTGTAGCAAACGCACCACCCATGTTAAGATGTCAATAACAAAGGAAATACCAACGTAAGATGTCAATAACTAAGGCAATTGTGCTGTGTGTGGTGGTGGCATGGGGTGTAACACAGGTACCCCTTTACTCATTGCAGCAAACCGAACACTTCTTAAGTTTGTAAACACAGAAAGTGAGGCAGGGGCTGTTGTGATGACCACATGGGTCACAGAGCCCCTCCTCTCGAGGAGGATCAGACCTCCTAACGCGGCAGTGGGTGGCTCTGGTTCTCTGGGGCAAGGGTCCCGGAATGAACAAGCCGCGTCGGCTCAGGGCCCGCCCCTCCCTTTACGGTGAAACTCGCAGCTCCCGCCCGCGCTTCTAGCATCCTGAGTATGCTTCCAGAAGACCAGGGGCCTGGCCTTCCCGACACCGGGGTCGACGATGGAGATCAAAGGGGCACGAGGGCCAGGCGGTTCTCACCGACGAGAGCCGAGTCCCGTCTGGAGGAGCTGCATGGGCTCCTCCGGATGCATGGACCCCTCCGGGTGCAGGAGCCACCTAGTGGAAGGCCTGCGGGCTGAGCAGGCGGACACCTGGGTCCAACCCCGGCTCCTTCGCGTCCAGGCTGTGTGGCCTCAGCACTGACCCCCTCTACGACGCCGACCCCCATACCGCTGCTAAGACCTAGTAAGACAACACAGGGCGAGCAGGCGGTTCGCACCGCCACACACCCACTCTGGACGGCTGGCCCCGTAAGTCAGACAAGGACAGCGGGCTCTGCTCAGCGCGTAAACCGCGGTCAGCTTCCCGGGCTGGTGGAACCGGGCACCCGCTTCCCGGGGCTGCCGAGTCCCGCCTGGCCTTCGCCCCGCTTCCTAGCCGGCGGCGCGTTCCACGCACCACGCCTCCCCTGGCCTGGGGGCAGCCCTGGGCCCGTCTCACAGGTGAGGGCACTAAAGACCGGACCAAGTTTCCGGCGGGCTCCTTAGTCAGTCAGGGTTGGGACTCGCCCACGGTGGCGGCGGCGTGCGGACGCCGGGACCCGCCGGCAGCCCGCTGGCTTCGCCGGCCGAAAGCCCATCTAGACTCCAGATCGCTCTAAGCCCTTTACCCGGGGAGCAGCCGCTAAAGTCACGTGCCCTGGCGTCGGCGCGGTCACGTGTCCCACGGCCCTGTGGACCGGACGCCCTGGGATTGGCCCATCCCTGCCAGGGGGGTGGGAATCTCTCGCCGAGATCTCCGTCCTCTGCGTGAATCTCGCTCGCTCGAGAGACTGCTGTCCGATTGGTGACTTTAAGCCCCAGAATGCATCGGGCGGGGAGGACGTGCGTCTTCGCGCGCAGTCGCGTCATCTTTCCGAGCCCGCTTGTAGTTTGCCATCTTTCTCACCCGGAAACCTATACTCGGCTCACTTGTTTCTGGCGAGTGGGACGAGTTTCTCAAAATGGGCCTACGGGCATCCCGTGGCCGTCCCTGCCCTAGCCCTAAAGGCCTTGTTCCCGCGACCTCCTCCGAAGCCTTGGGTTCCGCCCTCGGTTTTGTCTTGACCTGGCTCGCGCACCAAGCCCTGGTTTGAGATTTCTCGTTCCATCTAGACTAGGGATACTTAAGCCGGATACTTTGACTGGACTTTCTGGGATCCCCTTCAGATTATATGCAGGATAGGCCTGTGAGAAATGGCAGTCCACTCCAGTATTCCTGCCTGGAGAATCTCATGGACAGAGGAGGCTGGTGGGCTAAAGTCCATGGGGTCTCCAAGAGTCGGACACGACTGAGCGACTAACACACAGGCCGTGTAGGAGCCCCTGTGGATTGGTGGTGGGGGGCCTTCATCAGGTTTATATGCTAAGAACTCTGGCAGGACTAAGGGGGCCCCACTTAGTCCATCCTTTGGCTTTTTTTCCCCTCAGCATAGAATCTGGCACAGATGTTCAGAGGTGCTTATTAGAGGGAAGAGACTATCCTAACGTTATTTCTCCCAGTTACTCCGTGCACACGCCTCAGTCTGCTCCAAAGGAACACTTGTACACACTTGGTATTACCTGTACACAACTTTTGATTGCACAACTGCCTGGTGGAGTCAGCCTCTTCTTTCCGGTGGAAAGAAGAATGGTTCAACCATTCATTCTTTCATCCGGCTTTGATTGAGCTTAACCAGCCAGTGGAGGGTGAAGCACAGTGCCAGACCCTGGAGGCACAGTGATGAACAAGACGGGCGCAGGCTCTGTGCCCATTGAGCGCACGGTCTATGGGAGATACAGTGAGTTAGAGCTGAGGGACAGGTTGTGAGTGCCTTTGGATGGGTCGCCAGGGAGGTCTAAGACTGAAGGATAAATAGCTAATAGCCGAGTCAGGGGGGAGAGGGGAGCAGCCTGGGTAAGATGCCAGCTGTCACAGGAGGAGAGGAGAGAAGGTGGCAGGGCCAGCGTTTTGACCCTTGGAGGGTTGCTGCGAGCGTGCGGACTGATGAGAGGAAGGTGAAGAACTAGGGGTGCTCTCGCAGCAAGAGCTGGCTGGCTGTTTATGTGAGCAGTTCAAGGGCAGGAGGCAGTTGGGCAGACTGAGGTGGTAAACGGAACAGCTGAACAAAGGCTGGTTGTGGAAATCTGAACATTGGCAGGAGCCTCTCTGGGCCTCAGTTTGCCCATCTGTAAAGCGTGGGGGCTGGACCCATCATTAAGGTCCTCCTACCTGTGATTCAAATTGAGCAACACTTGAGTTAGGTGAGGATTTAGAAGTGATTACAGCGTGGAAGGAGAAGGAAGGCAGGAGAGAGTGACAGACACAAAGGGGACACTGGGCAGAGCGGGACTCAGGGCCCTGCCCGGTCAGAGAGCCGGCACTAGGGTCAGACCCTCGGTCATCCAGCTGGTGGACCTTGGGCAGTTCACTGCAAATCCCAAGGGCTCGAGTTTTGTCTTTATAATTTGGGAATAGTAGTAATAAAAATTCTGGGTGACACTGGGTTTTGGGGGAGACCATAGCCATAGCCATAGGCAACTCTGAATAAAACAGCATTGATTGTATTACAAACATTAAAGATAATCTCTGGAAAAACAAGCAAATTTGCCTCTGGGGAGTGGAACTGGGTGAGTGGATGGTTTGGGGCAGGGAGGGCACAGAGGGTTGGAAGGAGAGGGTTTTTTGCTTTTAAACTGCTTTTCATTTTGAATTTTGAACAACATGGCAAGTCAGAGAGTGATGCCAGGCCTTGATATTTCTGCACTGGCCCCAGCTGGGCACACACCAGACTTGAAGGCAGAGGGAGCATTAACAAGAACACATTCTGGATACCTGGACACCTGAGTGCTGATTGGGGGTCTCCCACCAATATACCTTGGATTTATTTTCTTAAACCTGGCGTGCTGCAGTCCCTGGGGTCTCAGAGTTGGACACGACAGCGATTGAACAACAACAAATTCAGAAATTTGGAGACAAGTGAGGGCTTTATAGAGGGTAAACAAAATCTTAGGACCCTGCTGGCCTGCGTTTGGATTCACAGTCTATTAGTGACTAGCTGGTGAGCTTGGGTCAATCAGTTAATCCATCGGAATCTCAGTGTTCCCATCTGAAAAGTGGGGATTAAGAACACTAACCTAATTGTTGTGAAAATTTGATAAGATGCTGTGTGCAGAGGGAAAGTCCAGCATGTTGTAGGTGCTCAGTAAGAATTACTTCTGGGTGGGGGAGGGATGGACTGGGAGCTTGGGGTTAGCGGATGCAAACTGTTACATATAGAATGAATAAACAACAGGGTCCCACTGTATAGCACAGGGAATTATATCCAACATCCTGTGATAAACCATAGTGGAAGAGAATATAAAGAAGAATATATATGTATAACAATCACAGTACAGCAGAAATTAACACAAGATTGTAAATCAGCTTTACTTCAATTAAAAAAAAATTCCATTCTCCCCTTCCAGCTTAGAAGAGCCCACCATGATCTGGACTAGGCTGGAGAAACATAACCGAGTTAATGTTTTTTTCATCTCACAAGAGCTTAATTTCATTTAAAGGGTATGATGCTGGGAGAATGCATCAAGAAGCACTGAGTGTTCAGTTTACAGCACAATCTGACCAGCAATTACGTAGAAACAGTTGAACATGAGGAGGCTCAGGCATCCCATATGCCAGAGGGTAGGGAAATCTCTGTGGGTGCTTCTGGTGCCCTCTGGTGGTGAAGAGGGAGACTGCAGGTCAGCGTAATGGCCTGAGAGGCAGCGGTCTGGCTGACTCCAAATGTTGCATTGGTAGGTGATGCACGATTTTTAAAAAACCAGGAACGTACATGTGTAAGATCAGTGCACATATTCCAGAAATATATAAGCTCTTGGAATATTTAATTTTTGCAATACTGACATTATAGCGCATGGTATAATACATATTGCTGAGTTGTGTCCTATTCTTTGGGACTCCATGGACTGCAGCACACCAGGCTTCCCTGTCTTTCACTATCTCTAGGAGCTTGCTCAAACTCAAGTCCATTGAGTCGGTGATGTTATCTAGCCATCTCATCCCCCTTCTCTTGCCCTCAATCTTTCCCAGTATCAAGGTCTTTTCCAATGAGTTGACTCTTTGCATCAGGTTTCCAAAGACACACACACACACACATATATATTTATTTATTATAAATATATATTCATAACATATAACATATATTCATATATATTATAACATATATTCATAATACATATGAATTTGAGCAAACTCTGGGAGACAGTGGAGGACACAGGAGCCTGGCGTGCTGCACTCCATGAAGTTGCAAAGAATCAGATACGATTTAGTGACTGGACAACAGTAATATATGTATATATATGTTATATTTTGGGATGCTATATATGTGTATGCATATAATGTCATTCTATTATGCAAACTGTTTTGGACCTTGCTTGTTTCATCTAAACATATGTTTTGAATAACTTTCCATGTGAGAATATACAGTTTTAACACATTGTCCATTTTTAAAAACTGTCATGGAACAGTTGAAAGCATAAAATATATTCATCTTCGGCCTGTGGCTCGATATATCTTTCTGTGTGCACACTCCTAATGCATTCCTTTTTCCAACAGATGAAAAATGATAATAATCATAAAAGTACCCTGATTGTGTTCCAGGCACTACTGTAAGAGCTTGGAGAACTTTCATTAAAGTTTACACACTGTTCCATTCTACGGGTGGTCAAGGATAAACACAGCTGACATCAGCTAAAACGGTGAAAACAGGTATCATTCAGTCACTACAGACTGCAGGGGGAAAGCGGAGTTCTGCTCTGACTTATGCAGAGGTTACAGGTGTTTTAAAGAGAGGATGAGCGAGTCGGGAGGGGCGTGTGGAGGGTGGGGGTTCAAGTACAAAATCACCAAGGGTGGGTGAGTGCAGATCAGACTGGGTGGCTGGGTCAAACTTCTACCTCCATGGGAGCTGTATCCTTCCTTCTGAGTCCATTTCAAGGGAACGACTTTCAGGTCCTTGAGAAAGACACTCCTGGGCTGTAGGAGGTACCTGTTCGCCTCAAAGGGGCAGAGGAAGGTTCACAACTGCAAGCCCTTCTTAGTAAATGCTCTAGAAGGGAAGTCAGGGCCTGTGGTCAGGGGTTGGCTGGAACAAATGGAAAATTCTCCTGGGGCAGTCCCCTGGCTTTCTCAGGCAGGTGTTTTAATGGGGAGGGGCGTCCTGGGGTCCTCCTAGGGACACAGCCTCATGCCACAGGACCTGGGCTGGAGTTTCATCATCTCTTCATGCTGGGGTTTGGACGGGGCTGTTGTGTGCCAGGAGCTCTAAGTTCTCAGGATGCACCTTTATTTACGAATAAGTTCTCTGTGACTTCCACCACTTTTCACTGTAGAGAACAAGGCCCCTGTGACCATCTCAGGCTGACAGCCATCCTTCTCTTCTGCAAGCGTCACTGGTGGCTAAGTGCCTGGAAGCCGACTTGCAGCGTGAAAGGCATGACATTTAGAAGATTTTTTTTTACAGATTTTTTGGGGATGTGAATCACTTTTAAAGTCTTTCTTGCATTCGTTACAATATTGCTTCTGTTTTATGTTTTGCTTTGTTTTTTCTCGGAGACATGTGAGCTCTAACCTGTCCTGACCAGGTGAAGGGACACCCTGCGTTGGAAGGTAAAGTCATTTTTTAAAAAATTTACTTATTTAGTTGGTTGGCTGCGCTGGGTCTTTGTTGCTGCACGAGGGCTTTCTCCAGTTGCGGCGAGCGGGGGCTGCCCTCCAGTTGTGATGCTCGGGCTTCTCCGTGTCATCACTTCTCTTGTTTGCGGAGCACAGGCTCTGGGGACTGTGGGCTTCAGTCGCTGTGGCGCTTGGGTTTCATTGCCCCATTGCTTGTGGGATCTTCCCGGATCAGGGATCAAACCCACCTCTCCTGCATTGGAAGGTGGATTCTAAAGCACTGGGCCACCAGGCAAGTTCCCAAAATATTTTTAATATTTAATATTTTAAACATTACTCAGCTGCCCTTCTAAAGAGTTATACAGGTTGCATATCCATCAACAATAAACGAAAATGCTCTTTCCCCCCGCCCGCGCCCCCCCCCCCCCCCCCCCCCCCCCCCCGCAATGTGAATTTCTTTCTCAGCTCCGTGGTGACCAGCATATCCCACCAGGGTGGCTGACTTTCCATGGATGAGCCCCTTTCCCTCTCAGAGCCCTTGTTTTCTCGCTGTGAGACGGGGCGAGGATACATCACAATTACAGCAGGTGCCATCTGCTGGGCTTCCTCTGCCTGCTTTAAATGATCATCTCTTTAATCCTCCCAAACACCTCCAAGGACTGAACCATTATCTGCATTTCACAGATGGGAGCCTGGAGGGCGAGGGAACTGGAATCGCAGCCCAAGCTACAGGCTTCAGGACGCTTTCCTCCCTAGAGCTCAGCCTCGGAGGGCCAGCTAGAATGCGGCCATGAGTGGATGGGTCCTCTGGCATCATCGGGACTGGGGAGCATTACGGTAATCACCTGCTTGACGTCTCCTCAGAGCTTAGAGGGATGCACCTCTAGGGAGGACCCATCAGAGGAAACTGATTCTTTTTCCTCCTTTATAGTGAGAGAAGGGCCAGCTACCTCTTGTGAATTCTGGGTCATCACCTGTAGTGCCCTTGAAAGAGTAGGTTTCATGGAGAGTTAATTCTATTGTTGTTGTTCTGTCACTTAGTCATGTCCGACTCTTTGCGACCTCATGGATTGGAGCACACCAGACTTCCCTGTCCTTCACTGTCTTTTGGAGTTTGCTCAAACTCATGTCCATTGAGTTGGTGATGCCATCCAACCATCTTGTCCTTTGTCATCGCCTTCTCCTGCCTTCAATCTTTCCCAGCATCAGGGTCTTTTCAAATGAGTTGGCTCTTGGCATCAGGTGGCCAAAGTATTGGAGCTTCAGCTTCAGCCCTTCCAATAAATATTCAGAGTTGATCTCCTTTAGGATTGACTGGTTTGATCTCCTTGCAGTCCAGGGGCCTCTCAAGAGTCTTCTCCAACACCACAGTTCAAAGGCATTAATTCTTCGGAGCTCAGCCTTCTTTATGGTCCAACTCTCACATCTGTTCGTGATTACTGGAAAAACGGTAGCTTTGACTATATGGACCTTTGTTGGCAAAGTGATGTCCCTGCTTTTTAATACACTGTCTAGGTTTGTCATAGCTTTTTTCCCAAGGAGAAAGCGTCTTTTAATTTCATGGTTGCGGTCCCCACCCGCAGTGATTTGAAGCCCAAGAAACTAAATCACAAAACCTCACTCCTGGAGGAGGGGGCAAGCAGGTGGTGGGAGGTGGGGCCTCCCTCGACCCTGCTCTGTGCGGCCAGAAAGAATCACAGCACTGGCCTCACTTTCAGTATAGCCTCATTGCACACTCAGGATTCACTGAGAAAATCCAGGGGATCAGAGAGCTCCTCCTTCCTCTACTTGCCCCAGACCTGTGCCTCTATGTGGATCCCTCCTCCCTTCCTTCTCTTAGCGCTGCGTCTCCTCGCGTGCATGCACATATGTTCAGTCACTCCAGTCGTGTCCAACTCTGTGTCCCCGTGGACTGTAGCCCACTAGGCTCCCCTGTCCATGGGATGCTCCAGGCAAGAACACTGGAGTGGGTTTCCATGCCCTCCTCCAGGGGATCTTGGTGACCCTGGGCTTGAACCCGTGTCTCTTACATCTCCCACATTGGTAGGTGGGTTCTCTACCACCAGTGCCACCTGGAAGCCCCCTGATCCCCTTGCTGCCCCTCTTTCTGGCAGGCCTGCCAGGTCTGGTCAAGGGCCTGGGTGGGCAGGGGCGGGTGACAGATGAGAGCAGTGTTTGGATTCCCATCGCCTGGATGAGGTACCAGCTCTGCTCTGCTCAGGACGGGACAGGCCACGTGCCCTCCGAGTCTCTGTCCCCGGACTGCCTCCTGGGTCCGGGCACAGCCCGAGAGAGACCAAGTGGACATTCCCCATGGGTGGAACGCCGGGCCACCCTCTGTGCAAGCCTTCTCCGGGCACCGCCCTTCCTCTCTATGCCATCCAGCCTGACTCCCTGGCACAGCACAGTCTCCTCTGCCGGGCACCCTGAGTCCCAGCGGCAGAGACTTGGCACCCTCAGGCGGCTCCAGCTCCTCCCAGCCGGTCCTCACTCTTTTGCACAGGAGCCTTAGCTCTTGTCAATTTGCGGGGTTTACATGTCACCTGCCTGTTCTAATCTTGTCACCCACTGTGGGTAGAATCCTTTTCAGTTGCCCGCAGCCCTTGGGCTCAAGTCGGCATTCCGCTGGCCCTTGCACACATCTACAGCCTCATTTCATGACCACTGTCCTTGGGCCGTCTGGTGACAGCGTAGCCCCAGCAGAACTTCAGGCCTGTCCCACCTCTGGGTCTTTGAGCGCATCCCTTTGCAGGCAACATTCCCTGCCCTCAGAGGGCGGAGCCCAGTGGGGTGCCCCTGCAGCACCCCACCCTCTCCCGGCCCAGGTGCTGAGGTCTGTGCTGCTCTCCCCACCATCGCTGCCTGGTGCATCCCATACGCACCGATGGGATGAGGGCCAAAGGGTCCTCTTCCCCATGGCCGCCGCCTCTGGGAGCACAGCCCCTCTCGGGCGGGCAGTCAGCCCTTTGTACCTTGATTCGCTTAACCGAGTGAGCAGAGTATCCCAGGGACAGAGCTGGGTGCCGGTGACATACCATGAAAACAGGTGAGGTCCCTGTCTGGGGGTGGAGGCTCTTAACTGAGAAACAAAATTGCAAATTGTATCAGGGCTCTGAAGGAAAGGGGGTGGGCTGAGAGTAAGGGGGATATCCAATTCGATAGGGTGGTCAGAGAAGGCGTCTTTGAGGAAAAGACATGGCCATTTACACCTGTGGGATAGAAAGAAGTCAGCCAGGCCACTTTGGGGATGGCATGGGCATGACAGCCTGTGCAAAGGCCCTGAGGCAGGAAAGAGGTAAGACTCAGACCAGTGATGGAACAGGTTGGCAGGAGTCAAATTAGGGACTCTTGTTTCCATAGCAAGGAGTTCAGGCTTTAAATGTCTGGTGAAGCTGCTCAAGGGTTTTAAGCAAGAGGGTGAGGTGATCACCGTTTAAGATGCTCTGGAGAGAAGGCTGTCACACTGTCCAGGGGACGATGGAAGCCGGGGATGGAGGCCCAAGAGCGAAGTTTGGGTAAGGCAGATGGACAGGTGCACCTGGGGGGTGTGGCCTCCAGGATTTAAGACTCCAAGTGCAGGGAGAATCCAGGCTGGCTTCCGGGTTTGACCAGGGGTGGTGGTGGCGCTGGTCCCTGGGATGAAGATAGCAGGGTCGTGACTGGGAGGTGGCAGGCAGGTGTGGCCCGTCCTGCAGCGCTGGCCGCTGTGCGTGGGGTTGAGACCATCCCAGGCACCCTGAGGCCCCAGCACCCACACATGCACAGACATCTGTTGTTCAGAATTCTTTCCACTATCTTCACTCAGGTCACATCTTCACTCTTAGCAGCCTGGGTTTGGGTTTTTTTTTCTTTTAATACTCAAATTTTGCAAGGTCAACGAGTGAAAAATATGGTACTTTTTTAAAAATAGAAAATGTGTGGTTATAAATGACTGAGCACTTCTGGTACATCCTGGATAATGGGCTGAAGATGATTCAAAATGCTTTTCCCAAATGTTCTGAGAAACTTGGATTTTAATATTTTGGGCTTCTCTTGTGGCTCAGCTGGCAAAGAATCCGCCTGCAGTGCGGGAGACCTGGGTTTGATCCCTGGGTTGGGAAGATCCCTGGGAGAAGGGAACAGCTACCCACTCCAGTGTTCTGGCCTGGAGAATTCCATGGACTGTATAGTCCGTGGGGTCGCAAAGAGTCGGACACGACTGAGCAACTTTCACTTTAATATGAGCCTTATTTATTTATACATGCTGTGCGGCTTGGGGGATCTTAGTTCCCCGACCAGGGATGGAACCTGGGCCCTGGCAGGGAAAGCTCAGTGCTAACCACTGGGCAACCAGGGAATTCCATGACCTTTTTTTTTTGCACTCTGAAAATATTTAAATTTTCACTTGTTAAAAAACATTTCCATATGAAGCTCATTGCCTAAGTATTTCATTTTCCTACAGAGATATTTAAAAAATTCACAACCTAGAAAGAATACAAGTGGCAGGCAACATAGAGGATGACCCACAAACACAGAACTCCGAGGTGTCATTAGACGCGTGCGACGGGCTGGGTACCAGCATCCACTAGTTTCATCCGGGCTCTCCTGTCTCTGGGTCTGCTTCATTCTCTGTAAAACAAGGGTTTTGAACTAGACCAGGGTTCCTAGAATTCCAGATTCCACAGGGCTGGAGGCAGATCGACACTGCTGCTGTATTACTGGTTTTTCCGGGGGGGAGGGTCGCACACAGTAGTGCCAGTTGTTGTCAAGTGGGGAATTACTAGGCAACTCCTATTAATGTTCGTGCTTCATGAAGGCTTAAGTGCGGAGGAGAAGCCACAGTGTGGAGGAGAAGCATGTCGGGTGAAGGACAGCTTCCTGACCCAGGTGGCACAGTGGTAAAGAGCCTGCCTGTTGATGCAGGAGATGAGAGATGGGGTTCGATGCCTGGGTTGGAAGATCCCCTGGAGGAGGAAATGGCAACCCACTCCGGTATCCTTGCCTGGAGAATCCCGTGGACAGAGGAGTCTGGAGGGCTACAGTCCGTGGGGTCACAGAGTCAGACACGACAGAGTGGACATAAAGGGAGGCTCAGTGCCCTGGAGGACAGAGGAGCGCTCTGCCATGCCCAGCACCGTGAGCAGACAGGCGCAGACAGGCGGTGGGTCCCGGGCATGGCCATCAGGGATCCGACACGGTTCCCGTGTCACCTTAGATGGGGCAGCTTTGGGGGCTCAATCATGTCGACAAGAGCAAGGGGCTGGGAATGGGGAGACGTGGCTTCTCTGCTCACCGGGCATCGGTGGACCTGGGTCTCCTCGCCCATGAAGCACCTTTGCTTTGCGAGGAAGTCATGCCCATCTCCGGGCTGGAGAAGAAAGATCGCGAGGGAGCTAGTGGCAGCTTAGAGTTACTGGACTGCATCTTGGTTTGGGCAGCGGGCCCTTGGTGTTCATCGTCTTATGAATGAATGAGTGAAGTCAGGAAGCCTCTTTTGCCGGAGATCCCCGCCCTGGAGACTCCTGGGCCCCTGCCTGGCTGGGCGGGTAACCAAGATGACTGGTTACCTAGACACCTCCCCTCCCCCCACTCCTTCGTTACCAGGATGCCCTTGCTGACCAGCCTATTCTAGAAGCCCAGGGAGCAGGGTACACGTTTCCCCCATGTTCAGACTCTGAGTTGAAGGGGAAAATGTAAAACGAGGCGTATTTTCAGGTTTATTTGATGTTGATATTGAATACAAGTCACCTCTGGGCCCCTTCCGGGTGTGGAGCTGCATCCTCCTGGAGCGATGGAGCCTGCTCTTCAATCTCTGTCCCTCTGCCGGGCAGCTCGTGAGTCTCCTCTCTGGAAGCTTCTACTTCCTCGAGCGGCTCAGTCGGAAAGCAGGTCTCACAGTTCAGCCAGCAGCCCCTCCTCTTCCTGTCTCCACGTGCCTGTGTGGTGGAAGCAGTCAAAGGCCCCGCGCACAGGTGCCACCGGGCCACCCGCTCTGCCCCGTGCTGGCCGTAGCCGGGACGGTTAACCAACCTCTCTGTGCCTCCCGCTCATCTGTGAGGCGGCTGAGACCCCAGGGGCTCCCCTTGCCCGACACAGGTCTGCCCTTTGCTCCCGGCGGTCACCTCTCAGCCCCGGGAACGTCCTGCCAGATAAGCGTGTCGGTGTTCTGTCTGGGGGACTTGGGCCCCCCTGGAGAGTCTGTGCTAATGGTGGGATTGGGGCGGGGGCCGCACAGAATCAGCTCCGTCTTTGGGGGGACTGGATGACCCTTATCAGTTATGTCAGTGTGACTGACCCCCCGATGAAACTGGACACCAAGGCTGGGGCCACGATGGCCAGGAGGAGCCGGGGGGAGGAAGGGAGGAGCCAGGTGGCGGGGAGACCACTGGCTCACGCATCTCTCCCTGCGCTGACTTCCATCTGGATCCATCTGGATCCTTCTGCTCATGAACTGTGAGGACAGCAGGCCCGCTCGCTTCCGCGTGCCCTTCCGGGGAGTCAGGGAGCCCGAGGTGCTGATGTTGGGATGCTGAAACTCAGGCCGCCCTCAGGGTCCAGGAGGCCTGTTTTATCCTCTGCCTGTCACACCAGTGGCCCCCACCTGCCCTAGGCTGGGTTTGGCTCAGTTTACCCTCCATAGCGGGCTCTTTACTCCAGTCTTTTTGAAACTCAGAGAAACAATTCTGGAAGAAGCAACCTCTGGGTTTACCATGGAATCATCTGGACTCTGACCAAAAGAGAGGAAGCTTTAAGACAATCCGCTGGACAGTTAACACTGCCTGAGGACACCACCTGCTGTGCGCTCACCTGGGAAGTTCTGAGGAGCCTGCCTTCAGCGAGGTCCGAACACCCTGTGTCCCTGGGGCTCTCTCCCCTGCTCGGCCGGCCGGAGCAGAAGCTTCCACTCACAGCCTCCCGCGTGGGCCCTGGGGCTGCAGGAGGCCGTCACAGGTGCCCTTAAATTGACTGGGAATTTGAGAGATTTCTAGCAAGTGCACTCGGAGAGGGCAGTGAAGACTCACAGGGCTCCCGCCCGGGAGAGTGCAGCCTCAGGCCGACTTCTCCAGGCTACCTTTGGTGCCGGGCCGCCCTGTCCTGCCCCTTGATCAGTGCCAACCCCCTGGCGCATATTCTGACTCTGCGTGTGCTGCTGGCGTGAGCACGTCGGGGTGTGTGTGTGGGGGGGGAGAGGGGGCGCAGGCACGGGATGGCCCCGTCTGAGGACAGAGCCGCTCTAGCAGCTGCACCAGTGCTGAAGGGCCGTCACGCCGGTACTCTCGGCGGTGGGGCGCGGCCTGGGTGCGTCTCCAGAACGGCCCCTCACCAGACAGGCCGGACGTCCCCAAGGTGGTCGCCGAGCCCCCGCTCCAGGAGCGACTTGGGCACTGTTGTCGGTGGGGGTGGGGTGGGTGGAGAGGAGTCACAGGGACGTTTGACAGATAAGGAAATGGAGGGGCCTGGGTCGCAGCCCACCCGCGGGGAGGCCTGAGGAGGCCGAGGCTGTCCCCAGGACTCCAGGGAGCGGCTGATCCTGGGCAACTTTTCTGTAACCGCACCGGTGAGGACAGGGAGCCCAGGGGAAGATGAGGGTGGATCAGCTGGGACCCCAGCTCCTCCTCAGCCATTCTCCCCTGCGCTCAAGGCTTTAACGGCCCTTCAAGAATCATTTTAAACATCACGGTTAGGGCTCAGATAATTCCATTTCTATAAACTGTTCTGACTCACATTTGCCTACTCGCCAAACGAGCAGTGGTCATTAAAAAGTCATCTCTACTGTTTTTCCATTAGAGAAGCAAAAAAAAAAAAAAAAAGAGCTTATGGAAGGCTCGGGGAAGACAGGGCTGTGGTGGACGCAGGGCGGCCACCCAACCTGTGTTGAGCGAGGGCCTTCCAGCCCGCCCCTCATCGTCACCCGACAGCAATCGGCACCGGCTGGCCCAACACCATGGCTGAATTTAGCGTCATGATGAGCAGTAAAAGTCACAGGTTCTTTATTTAGTCCATATAATACACCATTTTTTAGAGTTTTTCTTCTTTGAAAATTAGATAAAAGAGCATATTAAATGGCAAGTGTATGAAGTTTCTCCTCATAAACAATGTCAAAACGAAAAGTTCTGAATTACAAAATGTTAAAAAATATGTAGGTACTTAACATTTCACTAAAGCATAAAGTTACAGATATTCTCTAAAGAAAAATAATTGTGCCACTTACCTATTTTTGCTGTTTCTATGAACTTTTTTTTATTCTGTACATAGGACATTTTGTACAAAATATGAAGTCTACATTTTTATTACTCATTACCGTAAAACAAAGATACAATGTATGTACAATATTAAAAGGAAGCCATACTAAAGCCGCACTAAAAAGACACTCGGAATAGTGACATTTCTGATGTACAGATACGTTTTGGAAAGAGTGAAGATGCCAAACGCAGAACTTTATGAAGAAAAACAGTCACCAGTTTATTTTCAATGTAGTACTTTTGAAATCAATTTGGTACAGAATAAACAGTGTATCTATGTAATAATATGTAAGCTGAACAATTACACAGGGAATCTGAGTTCTAACTAGGAAAACTTTAAGAGGCCAAAATATTAAATAATACTCTTGTCAAAGAAAATCATTTTCTCTCAAAACCCTTTTATTTTTCCCTTTTTGGTGAATGTTTGTCTTCAATAAAGAGCAGGAGGAATACCTAGACAAAAAGATGTTCCTAAATGCTGAGCTTTCCACATCACCCAAACACCGAGGTTTTGGTTTTTTCCCTTGGGCAAGAGAGGCTTCCCAGAGACCTCTTGGGGACACGCCGAGAATATCCGAGTTGTGGGCATCTGAGCTCCGTCAGCTGAAGACGGAAGTTCAAACAATGGTTTATCGAGATACACAAGACGCTGCTTTATACAGTGAAAAGCACCCTTTTTCCCTCAAAAGGAGAAGGCATCTGAACTTTTTTTAAATGATAAATTTCGTAATGGCAAAGTGGAGGCAAAGTGTCAAGTTTCTCAGGAAGGTTTCTCCTCCCGCTTTCAGCCGGGGCGGCCTTCCAATTGACTACCTGCTCCGAACACAAGGGGTCCGCTCCCTCCAAGTGACAGGACCCAGGGAGATACACGCCGTCGGGGGTGGGGGGCGGGCGGTTTAAGTGAGACCCATGGGCAGGAGACTCTGAGCTGCACAGGGAACCATGTCCGCTCCGCTCCTTACAGGGTCTGAGTGGGTCCCCCCAGACCTTGAGAGAGAGAGAGATCCTGACGGAAGCCTTTGAAGCATCAAGACATTTAACATCAAGTTATAGCATCTTACGCCAGAGACACAGGAAACTAGAATCACTGGTTGAGGGCAGCGGTATGCATCTCAAATAGCTTTCGAGCAGGATAAGTCAGTCAAAATACTGGCCACCAGGAGAGACATCAAGAACAGAGCCTTAAGTGTAAAGATTTTTCTCCGCGTGCTGTTCCATTGAAAACAAAGAGCTTAATACATGCAAGGAAGTCTGAAATATTTAGCAGCATTGAAGACCACTGAAGACTCAGACGCTGTTTTTTCCTTATGAGGCATCGACTAAGGTGTCCTCTTTGCAACAGAGACTCCTTGGAGGTTGCTCTGCCGCCGCCGCCTCCGTGAAGCCTGGGGACTGCACCATGGGAGGCGGGCAGGGGGTGCTTCCCCACGGCGCTGATTCTGTGACGTCTGCCCAAGGGCAGCTGTGGCCTGCCTCAGGCCGAGAGCTGGCCTCACTCAAGATGATTCCCTTCTGATTTTCTACAAAGTGTGGAATTCTCAGAGAATTTTATCAATTGAAGAGCCTCATTCAAGGGTAACAAACGTGTTAAGTAGAGAAAAATCATTCTGCAAAGTAAGACATTGAACGCACCACTTTAAAGTTCCAATTCCAGGCAAGAGAAAGCTATTTTTTTTTTTTTAAACAAATTTCTCCTATGAGCTCACTCCCGGGCCCCTGGTGCTGGACCACAGACCTGGAAATATGGCTTTTGTGACACGCAGAAGCAGCAGGACGTGGTGCGCACGGCACTGGTCAAAGTGATACCTCAGGAAGACACAGCGGCGAGGATGGTCACGTCACTTTCCCAGCGAGCTGTGTTAAGATCAACAGCATAGAGCCACCTCGAGGGGATTAAAAACAAAAACAGACCAAAAAAAAAAAAAAAAACCACCCAGAAAGAAACTGCTGGCATAACAACCTGAAGGGCTGTACAGTCTTAAAAAATAGGTGAAGCTCTTTTACAGTGTTCCTTTGATTTGAAAACCATTGGTATTCTCATAGGACCCACCTATCCTAAATGATCGCAAATCCCATTTGGGGAGAACGTGAAGGTGACGACTGGGGTGCTTTCCTTAGCTCTGATTTTGGGGAACCGTCTTACATGGGGCCGTGCGGGGACCCCGGGGGTGGGGGGGTGGCACGCACGGCCCTGGGCGGCCACCATTGTTTGAACTCCTAGTCTCGAGCCGAGGCAGAAGGACGTGATTGCCTACAGATGGGGTTGGAGAAAGCTTGGACTTGAGTGTGACTGACTGGTATGGCACACGGAGCATGTCTTTGCTCCGGGCGGGCGCGGGGGCTAGCGCCCGTCCTGGGGCGCCGGCTCCTCGGCGCGGCCATGGGCCTCCAGGGCGCTCTTGGCGTGCAGGTCCTGGGGAAGGTCGGACTTGCGGCGCGCCAGGGGCCGCTCCTTCTTCGGGTCCTTCTGTGCCTGCAATGGAAACGCACGGCGTTGGCGACAGACCTGGCGACCCGGAGGTGAGCTCGCTCTGTTCTGAGCTGGCGCAGCCCACGCTCCGGGGCCCCCCTGAGGACTCTGGATGCCCAGAGGGTGGGGTGGCCTTCACCCCCCCCGCAGTGACCGAGGGGGGATGCCTCGTCTATTAAGAGATAACCCAGGGACCACTCAGTGTTGGCATCACGGTCTTCTAAAAGGTGTTTTGCCCAGGGTATTGGATACCTCTGTTTTGCAAATTCATCAGCTTTAGTACATCTCATAAATGGCAAAATCTTCCTAGTTCATAAAATGTCACTGAAACCATTTTATGGTTGTGTCCCTTACAGAGGCATTTCAGGAAGTCGAAATTTCCCTTGGAGGTAGATAAAAAGAAAGAATGAACAACACATTCAAACTGGACTCGAAGCCAGCAACGGGTCTAAAACTTCTATTAAATTTGAAAAAAGATACTTAGAATGAGAGGTATTAAGTAGGTCATGTAGGGGGAAAACCTTCTAGAACTTAGAAAAACTATACATTTAATTATCTACATAAAATTTCCTAACATTAAGGGTATGATATAAAACTCCCTTCTCCATTTCCATTTTCTTCCTAAACTTAGGACATTTTGGGGGAACAAAAGGAAAAAAATTAAGTGAGCCCTGTTTGCATGGGGATTTAGAGAATTGTGTCTGCAGAGAAAGGGTGGTCTGAAATACTGGGAGGTTAGATACCAACAGCATCCATTTCCATGAATAATAGTTAAATTATTCAGTTTTGAAGTAAGGCCATTGCATCAATACCAGAATATCTGAAACAAAACAAGAAGCCATCAAAGTCAGCTAAACACAGCGTGTGTACCAAGAGTCAGCCGGTTTGTGAGGAACTTTGACAAGAACCACAGCTTCCTTTCTGTTTAAGTGTCTCCAGCAAAAGGGAGATAGTACTTAAATAGAAATACTTGGGTGGTGCTGAGCAAACAGCTACCAGAAAACACTTGTACAAGTCAATCACTTGAGAGCAAAAAGCACACATCTCTGACCACTCCCCAGAGTGGCCAGCTTGCCAGCACCGCTGGTGTGATATGCCAAGTATACTTCTCTGTGCTTTAATAAAAATATTCAGGGACTTGCAGAAACCATATATGAAACATGCAGTTTTGCAGAGCTACTATTTCTTACGGTTCTTTGCAAATTTATCTATGAAAACCATAGCAATGTCAAGGTTTGTAAAGAATTTTGTGTCACATCACTTTAGGATTGTTTCTAGAAATGTTATTTGGTCATTAAGGTTCATTTATGGCTAAAGGCAGGAATTTTGATTTTCTCTCCCGGAAACTGGTGTAAGATGGCTTCAGGACCGCCAGCACATTGGGAGACTGGAGGCCCCAGTCCCCGAGGGGCTGCCCGTCATGGTCACACCCCTTGTAAAAGTGCTCGCATCGGTGGAGCCTGTTTGCCTTCGACCCAGGAGAACCTCAGAGGGAAATTCTACCCTGAATTTTATGTCCATCCCATGTTGAGTTGTAAATCAAAGCAAAGTGAAGCAAAACAAAAGCATTTTAGATACTTGAAATATTTAATAACTGCCGCCGACAGGCATTCCAAAGAGAAGAAACATTTTCATAGAAAAAGGCGATAGTAAAAACCTGGGAGCTGCAAACCAACAAATGCAAATTGAGAAGGCAAACGTGACCCGGGAAACTTCTGGAAGGAGAGAGAGAGAGTGAGGGACCTGCTGAGTCTTCCTATGTAACCATTTAAAACCAGGGTGTAAAGCAGAGAGCAGTTACACAAGCCACAAAGGTTAAAAAAAAAAATCAGAAACACGGGCGGCAGGAGAGAGACGTCATGCAGATGGTCACCCTGGACGAGTGACCCTGGTGGAGGGGTGTGCTGGTGAGCATGCTGTTGATGGTGGGGTGGACAAGACAGACGGAAATGCTGCCCAGGACACCTCCGCGGAGATCGGAGCCGGAAAGATCCAGTCTCTGTCCGCAGTGGGACAGCGGCTCTGAAAGGCCCAATCTCTATTCAGGAAGTGGGGAGGCA